ATAATCACAGCCAGAGGGTTAGCATATCAGCCAGGCAACTGGTATTTTCAAAAGTAGGGATGAGCAGAGCAATTTCACTGAAATTGATTTTGCAGCAAAATGGCTGATTTTGCCTTTTCTAAAATGTTATCAATATTGGCAAAATTCGCTTGAAAAAAAAAAAAATCAATTTGCTATTTTCTAACAAAGCCATGTGATCATCATGTACTTGCTGAAATGGTAATCAATGGTTTTGTTGATAAACAAAGGGAACCCTAAGGGTAACCCTAACCCTAGTGCTAATGCTTACCCTAAACCTTTACTGGTCGATAAAGCCATGTGATCACCATTTCAGAACTCTCATGGTAATCACATGAGCCAAACATAAACAATCTCTGCTGCCACAAAGAGAATTGGTTGCACATTCCTAAGCTCACATGAGTCTCCTGTGGTTCCCAGACCTTGCCCACTCTGAGCACATGCAAAGAGATCCAAAAAGTAGAGCCCAAGGTTCTTACTGTTAGACTAAAGAATATAGATACATAAAGTAAACCGGTAGCAGAAAAAGCACATTTCACACACAAAGTGCTTAGTTTAAAGTGTATTTCCAGTTTTGCAGTACAATTTAAGAAAACCCCTCTATATGAGGGGAGGGGAAGAAAGCCAATCCTAAGGTTAACCTTGACCCTAGTGCTAATGCTTACCCTAACCCTTTATTTGTCAACAAAACCATGTGATGACCATGTCAGTGCTGTCATGATAAGATGACTTTATTTATAAACAATGTTTATAAACAAAGGGTGGTTATGGTTAGTGCAAGGGTTAGGCATTCTTGGCAAAAGAACATGTTCAGAATAGCTGAAAGGAGCTTCCCTAACGTTCCAGAGCTATTTATAGCTCATTGCACCTGTAAATGACCAAACCACATTACCAACCACGTAACCAAACGGTTACCACGTAACCAACCTTACTTTTGTAGTCAATGTTGTACTGTTTGTGGAGATGTCCTGAGAGCTTACTCTAATTGGAATTGACTGACTACATACAGTTTTTCTGTGTTCACATACATGAAAGCCATGAGAAAGATAGATGTGTGTCTAGAGATTTTTTTTTTTTTTACTGGGTACAGGCAATGTTCTTGGTGTCTATAGGTGTGTCAATATATGTATGTATGTATGTAAGTATGTATGTATGTATGTATATGAATTTTGGCACTAGGCAAGAAATATCTCCAACAGGTATTCAAGGAATTGGTCCACCAAAAGTTTGCTACAGTTTTCACTTTCATTAGCTTGTAATTATCAAGGACTATGTTGCATAATTTATTGTTATGTAACCATTTTCATAGTAAATTTATATATGCAAATCTGAAACCACTAGTGGGCACATGTATTTCTCGACAATCACTATCTGTAGATAACGTTTACCAGTGTTTTTCTGAGCAATTGCTGGGAAGAAATCAAATACATGATAAGCTATCAGTTGAAGAGAGCATTGTATACCATAGAGAAGCGCTCCCCACCCTTTTCCAACTCTTGACACACCACAATAAAACTTCAGATGTCCCTGACACCTTGTATCATACAGTTCATCATTTAATGGGCTTCTCTATTCTACAGCAGAACAGGCAATAATAAAGCTGCAAACCTAGCAAACCAGTGGAGGATACAGTATCAAACATGTCTACTGTTTGTAAAACAGATAACACTGAAATGTTTGTACTCTGCAGCAATTTTTGGTTGCACTGCAGCATGCACAGCATAACCAGTGCAAATGATCTCTCATGGTAGATATAATTGCATTTTCTCTTCTTATTCTATGTGATGTTTAAACGGAAAAAAATACATCTTATTTTTTACATGTCTGACTTTTAGGAATTATGTTTGCTTACTTTTAATTATTAAACACTTGCAGGCTTCTTCATTAAGCATTATAAGTGTATGAATGCAGTATCCCATAGCAAACAATTAAAACTCATTTTACTGAAGCCAGATCAGCACAAAACAGATTTTGATTGGTTGTTATGGATAATATGCTGCTTATACCGTTGTGCTGAATAAGGGAATTGTTAATTTGCTTGGAGGATTTGACATAATAGTTAATTTTTTCTGGTTTGTAAGATGACACTCCTTCATTCTTGCCTTTTACTATTCATAGAATCGGTATTTTCTGTTTAGCATATATTAGACCCATCTGTACTGTTTCGACATTAGAATCAAGGATATTGTTGATAAGACGTATGCCTGTAGTATTAGATGTTTTCCTAAGGGATGCCAGCTGTGAAGGTTGAATGTGACCATTATTACATTATGGAGAGAAGTTGAGAGAACTTGGACCTCTTTCATAAAAGAGGTCATCATGCTACTCCTTAGGCTTTTGAAAAAGTCCAGCACAGGTTACAGGAAGCACATACAGTAAGTTGGTTGTTGGACTTACAAAAGCCCCATGGTGCTAACATTAGTAATCTGAGCCATGATTCCTGTGATCTGCCTGTTCTCTGAGAATACATTACAACTTTGTTTTGATATATAGACCAGGTTCAGTTAAAAACGCAGATTCTGGCATGCAATGCACCCATCAGGTGCTTGACAAGCTTGGATAGCTTCTATCAGTCAAATAACGTATTTTGTTTTATGTGGCTTCTAAACTGTAAAGTCTAATATTTATCAAAGCAAGTATTCCTTTATAGCCCCTGGCACATTCTGTTCCATGCAGCGTTAATACAAGTTAGAAATTCAGGTGTGTGTCAAGGTTTAAATTGAAAAGTCATTAGAGAGTTTGTATGATTTATATGTTGCTATGCAATTTGAAGAATTTGTTACATAGTTAGTCAAGTTGAAAAAAGACACAAGTCCATCAAGTTCAACCTATAGAGATAAGAGGAACAGGCTATAGAAAAAAAAAATACAAATACACCTCCCTTGACAATTCCAAGTGAATATATTATCCTACTTATACATTGTATGCACTTCTGCAAGTAAAACTGCTGGAAGTTCAGGATTTGTATGTTAAAACTAATGACTTGGTAGCAGCAAATCAGGAATCAGAATTGTAATAACTGTATCCACTGTTTTTTTCTTGATTATTTTGTGAATGTGTAATCTAATAAAGAACCATCATGACTGTATCACAGGGCACATTTTACTGTTATCTGGCAGGGAGGACTGAGAAATAGAATAGTCAGCTGCAGTTCCACAATGGACTCATGAAGAATGTCCAAGAAAAAATATGTAAACCACAACACCACAAATTATATAGTCACTCATCTTTATCATAGCTTGAATCATAGTGTAATAAAGTCTTTCAGGCCTCGTTCACACCATCCTTAGTGCGTTCCGGCCCGATTGTGGCCGGAACGCACTGGATCGCATTGTGGCCGGCTCAGTTTGTTGTAGGTCGGGAGTGGGCAGGGTGGTACATGGAATTGAATGGCACCATAGCCACGCCCTCCAGGCACAATGCGATTGGCCGCACGGGAACGCAAGATACATCAATGCTAGCGGGCCGGTTTGAAAAAATTGTGCTTGCAGCATTTTTTTGGACCAGACCGCCTTTGCCTTTCCGTGCAGCCAATTACATTGCGGCCGGAGGGTGTGACTACGGTGCCATTCAATTCAATGGACCACCACGCTCACCCCCCATACCCCCCACTCCCCAAAAAAACAGAGCTGGCCGCAATGCGATCCAGTGCCTTCCGGCCGCAGTCGGACTGCTACTGATCCCTAATCAGTGTGGAAGGCTTGATTGCATTTGTTGAATAAGCTGTGTGGTGTTGAAAATAAGGTGTATTGGTACATAATTTTTGCTAAAAGGATTGCTCCAATTTAATGAATAATACAGTAAAATTAGTGCACTCAATTGCCCAGTCATGCCTTACCACAATGGTCTCCAACCTCAGTCATAGACAGCCATATTGGAAGCAAGTTAGGCTCCACAAAGGGACCACTGAATGTGACTGTTCCAGGCATTTTAGAACACGTTCTAAACTTTTGTAACACAACAGTTACACATACCTTAGATTAGGTTAGTCAGTTAGGTAAACCTTTATTGTGCTTTGATGGCCGATATATGTCACCACTATCTCGGTTGTGGTCCCTTTAAGGGTCACCAGAGGGTTAATCTTCCTGCCACAGGAAGCGGTTTAAAAGTCAGCAACTGGGTGGGTGTTGTGAGGAGAAAGGTGTCGGCTGTGGCGTGAGAGACCTGTGATGTTGCTGAGAATAAAGGATTCATATGCCTGGGAAGGGATTTCCCCAGGCTTGGGACTCTAGAACAAGTCGTGATACACATTTTTCATTTAATTACCGTGCCAAAGATACAGACTTTGCTTTGAATTTTGGCTGAAGTTAAGCTTTCATTTGATTGCCTTGAAGAGGAAAAATAAAAACTCTTGTTTATAAAAAGACCCTGTGCGAGTGCTCCCCAACTTTACAGCAGCTATAAACGTAAATGATAACATTTTTATTTTTGCATTACATCCTCCTAGCTGGGTAAAGAAGAAATCTGGTATGTTTTAAGCACCCTGTGGACCACTTGTGGTTATTTTACTCAGTTTAAGGGGCTTCAAGTTTGCCCCATGCAATCACCGATGATTGCACATATTGTTTAGCATATGTAGTTCTAAAGAAGACTGTCAAAGACTGTGGACACACTACAGGAGATGGTCAAAGACTTGGAGTATGCTGCAGAAGAGGCTCAAACTGCAGACATGCTTTAGGAGAAGTTGTAGACTGAATCTTGCTGCAGGGGGTAGTAAGAGACTAGCGATATTACTGCAACAGCTAGTCTAATGAATATACTCTTTCATTGGCCTGAGTAAGCGCTTTTACAGGAAAAGCATTGACTTCTAGCTGCTGTACCACAAATACCTAAAGGTGTGTAGTTCTTAGGATGCAGGTTGAGCACCAGAACCGTGGACATACAGGTGCTTTTTGGATGTTAATGTTTTTTGATGTAGAAGCTGCCGCTTGGAAAAAACATGATTATTGAATCTTTTTTTGTTTTGTATTTTTCCTCACCAGAATTGATGAACTAAAGGAACTTGGTGACCTCTCTCCACATTGGGACAACCTGCGGCAAAGTGTAATAACTCATTATGAAGAGATGGTGTCCATCTACAAGGAAAGCCTTACAGAGCTAGAAAAATATACAGGTAAACATCGATTGCTTTGTAATTCTAATTCTGTATGAATCATTTATCTGTATGGTATGGTTAAAATGTACAGGTAGACCACTGTTCAGTCGGGTAGTTATAAAAAAAGGTTTGCCCTGTGACCTCTGTTTAATTACATGGTGCCAAGAGCAGTGTTGTACAGTAACTAAAAACTAAATCTAAGTTTGTTCAAATTAAGTTTATTAAATTACCATAACACGGAACAAAACATCCACCATCGTACATACAGCAGCCTTAAAAATCATTAAAAAATCATCATAGTAAATAGAATACAACTATATCCATACATCTACCTCAAGGGTATACCATGCAATTATCACCGTCCTATTTGTACTATTTTTTTTTTTTATAAATTCTTTATTTAGGTCAGGTTAACAGATTATTTGTTGTATACAGAAAAAACGGAAACTGTGCCCGTGGGGACTCGCAGGTCCGGGCGCTTATGGTATACATGCATCAAAGCACCATCAAGAAGGTAGCATACATGGTATATTGAAGCATGAGAGAACCCCATGGGCATCAATGCAACGCATTTGAGGGGAGGGTATCCTCTCGTGACCCCTGCCTGAGTGTGGGGGTTGCAGTCATGGGATGTTGCTGAAGTTACCATGTTGACGGGTAGAGAGCCAGAGGGTGGGGAGCACAGGACAAGACAAGAGAAGGGGAGGGGGTAGGGGGGGCAGAAGTGGAATGTGTACTATTGATGGACCAGCCACACTAACACCCTAACACATTAACATATAACGTTGGAACATAAAAAGGAAGGGGAACACAGCACCCCCCAAAAAAAAGAGGTGGGAGGGGGAGAGAGAGGGAGGGGGTATGTATGGAGAGCTCAAGGAAGCTTACTTAATATCATATTAGTGCCTTTCTGTAATCATTCTTAAAATAAAAAGACCCTTTGTCCAAAAAAAAAACATTGTTAATCAGCAAAAGTGGTCACTAATACTGTAAAATTTTCAGAGTCCTGGAAGCAGTTCCACATTCCCCAGAGCTGCCTATACCGCTCACTGTGATCAGAGTCCATAGCTACTAATTTCTATATATGTGCGATTTCGCTCAGACTATTCAGCCACTCCATAATAGGAGGGGCACGGGCAGACTTCCAGTGCCTCGCAATAGTCTGCCGTACCGCAAAAACAAACAAACATAAAACCGTCTTTTTAGCTTTTGATATTGAATCCGGGAACAAAGACAGTAAAGTTAAAGTAGGTGTATTGCAAGTAGTCGTGGAATGTGCTTTATCATACAAAGCTAAGACCTTTGCCCAAAAGGCCTTTATCACGGGGCAGGGCCACCATATGTGTGTATATATGTACCTTCTGACATTTGGCATCTCCAACATGTCTGCGAAACCGAAGGAAACGTGATGAACCCGTACTGGAGTATAGTACCATCTAGAAAGCAGTTTGACTAAATCTAAGTTTAAAAGCACTTGTTCGATTAAAGCTAATTCATTAATTATAACGTTATGCTGTTCCAAAGCAATACTTTGGACATTTAGGACTCCCTCTAGGAAGTAATATTAAGCATTTCTGATGTTGGAGGCATTCCTTATTGCTCATGGAACTTGTTTGAAAATGTCCTTGTGCCCTAGTCAATCCTTCTATCTTCTATTTGTAAGTGGAAAGAAAAATTACCACCATGCATTCACTGCTTTTAGTCCATAGGCGAGTTACACAAGAAGATGTCTTCCCTTAAAAAACATGTGCACATCTAGGCCTAAAATATGTTGATTTCTGATTGGTTGTTATGAGTTACTTCTAGTAATGAGTGAGTGAACATTCACAAATTAGTGCTGCCCTTGAGTCACAAACTACTTGTTTTTATTATGTTTCTGTAATTTTTATTTACAGTTTACTTTGTTTTCTAATTGCTATAAATATACTGATGGATTTCAGTAACATTTTATACAAACAGAACAAAATAATCTCAGCCAGTTCTCATAATAGTATGTTTTCCTAAACTCAAATGATCAAATATAAAGAACTAAACATAGCATACACTCTTGTTTAGCTATTTATAGTGCAAGTCTCATTGTCTTGCCGTCTGGTTTATTAGCAAGACTACTAGAGGAGTATCCATGTGTCACCCTTAGGATGCATTATGGTCAGTACGGCTGCCAATAGATAATCTAGTTCAGTAAGCATTCAAAAGGCTTATTTGCTATTATTTTGCTCAGACGAACTGACATCAAGGGAATGCATTTACTAAAAAGCCATTATCTTCTGCTTGCGCTGACTATCTACAGTTACACTAGTGCCCCCCTGGGTGTATGGACTCCTGCTGAAAGCACACCATTCGTTCTAGTGGTCTTAGTGGACCCTTGGCAAGCTTCCTGTAACAGCATTGTCATTCTTTCATTAATGAGAACTGTTTCTGAAAAAACCTTTATGCACCAGTGCCACACAGCAAAATAACATAAAACCTAACTAGAAACAAGATAGTTCACCAAGGACCGGAATATTAAAGCAAGGACCTTCCGTTCATTATTCTTATTTTGACAAGTCAATAAAAATGAGCTGAACTTCAGCTGTTGGCTTTATATAATGCTGTATTTTAAGAGCAGCCAAAACATAATGTGTGATAAATGTACCATCATTTTCACCATGCTGGGCCCCTGTTGAAGACAGCAGGGGATGTCTGTCACTTAAAATGCATTAGCATATCTGCACATTAAATACTGCTCTGCAGATTACTGAAAAGGTGCATGCTGGGATGCAGCAATAAAAAAAAATCTTTTCATTTCTTAAAAATCAAGTGCACATTAAAATGGAAAGATGAACTGGAAAGATACAATGCATGCACCCCACACAGGCTTAAAGAAAAAAAAATACCATCTGCTTGCTGCAGAACATGGTGCTTCTTACAGTTTTTAATTCCTGTTTTTTTTCCCCAGGGTCTTCTTTCAAATCCAGCTGTACTAAAGGAGAAAAGAGTTTAGAATTTGTTCCAATTAATCTCCATTTGCAAAGAATGCGTGTTCACAGCCAAAAGCTAAAAGGTAAATTGTTGATGGTAAAAAATGTAGGTTCTTAAAGGTAATGTGTAGTAGTTTCGATATCCCTTTTTATCTTTGTTGTTCAGATCTAAAAAAAAAGTTATTTTTTAGTCAGGTAAACATGTAATATTGACATTAATATGTTGCATTCTGTTTTTGAGCCAGCAGGTGGAGCTTTAGAATCCTTTTCACATATGTATCTCTCTGTCTGCAGCCTTTTGAAAAAAGCCTTTTTTTATGGGCTTGCAGTTTGCAAGGTTTACAACACAGATGCATCCTCATACCTAATCATTAAGCATGGTCTGACGTTTTAGTCAAACAAAGCTACAAGGCAGGCAGCGTACTGTCTTGTTATTTATCCCATAGAGCTTATTACTGTTTATTAAAAAATATGTGACCACAGTAAAGATGTATAAGAAACTGTGAGGTGGCTCACAGTTCTTTTCAAAAAAAGTCACTTTAAAGTTCTTTAAAAAAACAAACTACTGTAACGTATGAAGGGTAGCTGCAGTTTTTAGTACCCTTGCTCTGCCCAATCACTAAGCAGTATATTCCTATTGGCCCATCACTATGAGGGGCTACCTCACAGGGCAATAGGAATGTGCGGTAGGGGCAGGCCATTTGTGAACTACTGGCAGTCTTTGCCAAACCCAGTGTTTGGGTAGAGCTAGGGCCCTGAAAACTGACTTTATCATTTTAGTACCACAAAAAATGCTGCTGACCAGTAAGAACATTTTAAGGCAACAAGTCTATCCAGGAAGTTCCAGAACTGTAAAACAGAATCCCAAGTTTTTTCCTTAAAATGAGTACTATGTAATTCACTACAACAAAATATCCAAAGAGCTCCTCAAATGTCGGAAACCCTACTGTGTTTCCTTTAGCAGAGGTAGCAGAGGATTGAGGCTGTTGACCAGGTACACGTTGAACTTTTTCAAAATCCAACAAGCTCCTCAAATTGGTTTGCTTTCAGAAGTCCTAGAGCAACTTCCCATCTTTCTATCTCCGGGATGTATCACCAGTCAGTCAGACGTTCAAGGAAGGAATGAATCTGACTGGTGGCTGTAAGAAACTTCTTAAAACTTTTAAGTTCTATTCTGTCACCAAGTTTTTATGATACTAAAAAGTAGTCTAGAACCTGGTTATCTACGGTGAGGTCTTTTAAATGCGAGGTTAATACCTACTGTTACTGTAGTGAACTCAGCAACACCAAAACTGTGACATTATTAGTTATAGAAGAGGCATATCATAAAAAATTTACTCATTTTAGCAAAGATATATGTGGTATAGTACAGAATTGGTGAGCAATATGGCTATAATGCTCTCCGACTGTCTAATGTAGCCAAACACTTTTTGAAAAAACATAAATGAGATATGACATTGGTTTCTTTCTTTGGGGCAGAAAGGGCGTCCTTGTCAACTAGGGGAGGGAATTAACATGGACCTTTTGTAACAAAGATACACAGAGGAGCCAGCAGGGGCTGTTTGAAAATAACTCTCCTGTATTACAAACATTTGAGCAAAAAAGGTTCTCCGATCTCTAGATTAAAAACAAAAAGAAGCCCATGCAGACAAGCCAAGTAGCTTATATTCATCTCAAGCTTGATTGTCAGTTTTGCTTAGGGCATACCTTTAGGTGCCCTGCATTTACTGAAACATACATTTTGGGTGGTCTTATTCTGTAGGAAAACCTATCACAAGTAAAACATTATTACCATGGGGAAATATTCATTTTATCAGTAGCACAGATATGACAAGTTATTCATGTGATAAGCTAGAGGCAGTTAGGGCCTCCTGTGCGTGCTAAAGGCAAAGTTTCCCAGTTAGCACGCAGCTGGGATATTTACAGTCTGATGTATGATCATGAATATATTAGGGCTGCAACAACTAATCGACATAATCGATTATAATCGATTATTGAAAAAGTTGTCAACTTTTTCAATAATCGATTAATCGGCTTCCGATCAGTTGGCCCTGTATATATTACACTTTTATATACAAGACAGACCATTCAACTTTTTTTTATGTTTGCATATCAATAAGGGGGCAGAAGAACATCTAGCAGAGCAGCACTCAGCATTTAGAGATTTCTATCTCTGTAATTTTGCATAATTCACAGACTGCAGACTTGAAGCTATAAAACCATGGTGCAGGGGAAATCATGTTAGTCTCAAATTCTGCCTCAGATTAGCTGCAGGGTTATGCAGAAATCCGTTTACCTTTTTTTAAATCGAGGATGGCAATTCTAGATTAAATCCACTAGTGTAATCTGCTTTGACAGTGTTTACAAAAGTGTGCCATTTTTTAAAGGCTAAAACAGAATAGTGGCCAAAGACGTGGCTTCTATATAAGGGGCATGGATTTATTAAGGAACGTACTTTGTCACTGCAAAATCCAAGGTGTCTATTTATAAACAGTTCACTGAGTGAATCTTTCTGAACGTTACACATTCCTAGATATATTTTCCTTTTGAGTCCAATGTATGTAATGTAATACTGAATTTTGGCCACTAGCTGGAGCTAAGGCGCATAGGAAATAAATTTTCCCTATGCTCCTCAGCGCCATCTAGTTGCCATAATGATTACATTACATACTTTCAACCTGAAAAGAAAATATAAGTAAAAATGTTTGGTTTTGGTTTTGGTTTTATTCACACAGGACGAACGTTCAGAAAGATTCACCTCTAAGTGTTAACTATTGAACGTGCAATTTGTAAAGATACTCACTTTTTTTTTTTTAAACCAGAGAGAGTTTATATGGTAACATAGAAGCAATTAGGCTACTAATTAAATAATTATTATTAGTGACACTGCTGATTTAGAAGTGCCACTCTTTCAGATAAAGATTACACATAAAGTTATGTTCATGTCAAAAAATTTAATATAATGTAATTAATTTTTTAATACGTTCTTTTTCAATTAAATCATACTACCGAAACTTCCAGTCCTAGGGTGACAACAGTTCAGCTGCTGCAGCGTTTTCACCATCTCTTACACACACAGGTATGGCAATGCAGAGTGTGCAAGCAAATTCTGCTGTAGCCACTGCAGTAGCGCTGCAACCAACTAATCGATTATTTGATCATCGATAATGAGCATAGTTGTAAACTATGCTCATTATCGATTAGTTGGTTGGATTGGTTAGTTGGTTGTGCCCTCCTCCACGCTGGGAGGAGGGCAGAGCAAGCATTGGACGGGTGCAATAGCCAGCCTGCTATTGGCTATTGCTATTTAAAATGGCCAATAGCAGGCTGGCTATTGCACCAGCCCACTACCTGCTGTATTTACATTCAGCTGCCGTCTCCATAATCTTGCCACTGGCAGCTGTCAATTCCTGGCTGAAGCTATACAAGCACCATGTGCTTACAATACAATTATTAAAGAAAAAAAAATGTATAAAAGGTGGGATAAAAAAAATGATTACCTTTTAGATGTTTCTGTGGTGAAGGCCTTTGTGCAGATTGCAGTCTGAGCAGTTTGAAAGTGAAACTGAGGGACAGACTGAGCTTCTCCTCGCTAACATTCCATGCCTCTTTAACCTTTTGTTAGGACAGACAGTGTTCATGTCTAATTTATAACTGATAATGAGATTTGTCAGCACTGTACAGACAGAGTTAATCATAGTTATTATATCCTCCCCCAGCTCCCTCATTAACATTGTTTTACCAAGCGCTCCAGTGAGGGCGATCACACTGCGGGTGGGGGCGTGGCTGCAGTGCCATTGACTTCAATGCACCGCCACGCCCCCTCCCGCCTCTGAACGCAGGAAGCCCGCCGGGATACGGCCTAGTGCAATCCAGCAGCGAATCATGCTGGAACGCACCAGAGCTGGTGTGAACCGGTCCTGGAGGGTATCTGGGGTCAAAAACGAAAAATAGATATGTATTTCTATATTAAATTTATATAAGTTCTAAATCTAGAGATTTGTAAACCTATTGAAGATGGATGCTTGTAGGATGTACTTCCTCAGTCCAGTGATACAATTTTACTCAGCCCTGTGAATATGCACAGCATTGTGTCACCAATCTTATTAAGCCTGCCTTCTGAACTACAACTCAACGTGTGAACTTTCCACAATGTGACATCATAATTTCTTGCTGGAAGCAAAGCATGATGGGATATGTAGTCTTGGGAAATTGAGATTACGTCACATCAAGATGCAAAGCACACGGGCAATCCAGGAAGCTGTTGAAAGTGATAGGCAAACCAGAAGGCAGCACTCACTACATAAAAGAGATTTTTGCAAGTAAGCTTTGATTGCATGATCAAAAACAACTCTAGTATGCAGGTGCATTCAATATTCACCGCCTGAGGCCATGGGTGGTTGTAGGGTGGTGGTTACTGCTACCTCTGGGTCCGACTCTTTCTGGTGTCCTACCCAGCTCACTAAAGTCACTGATTGCCAGGAGCTGGGTGGGATGCCAGCCGGAGCGTCACAGGTTGCTCTTAGCAACCTGGGATGCTCTGACAAGAAAGGGGGCAGCAGGCACAGCTGCCCCCCCCCCCCCCCCCCCCCACAGCGACCCCAAACGTGACCCAGTTAAATGCTGTCTGAGGTAGCCGTCTCAGGCTGCCTCATTATAGGTTCGGCCCTGTATTTTTACATAAAAACTCTTGAGATTGTCATAACAGAGGAATCTATTATCCCCCAGAAGTGCAGACCTGGGACCAGCACACGCTTTTTTATAAAGGTAAATTGTAATAACTTAGTGATGATTGTTCTAGATATACAAGAATAAGTATGTAAAGGTTGTATATGCGCTGCTGTCGGAAGTTATTTTGTTATTTTGTTGATTGTATAATGGTCCGGCATAAGATTTCCCACACTGATTGTTCTCTATGGAGGGCAAGACCTCTTCTCAGGCTTAGAAAGAGAAGTAGGGCAGCATGAAAGCTGTGTGAAAAGAAGAACAATTTCTCTTCACAGAGCGATGTCTCAGGGAAGCTATAAAGGGGGAGAAACATAGATCCTTGGTACACAGTGTGTTGAAAGTGGTCAGCTGGGAG